TTACCTTAAAAGAATGTCTACCTTAATTTGATGTTTGCCTTCCTTTTTATAAGTGGGTTTTATGGTTTTTTTTAGGGTCTAGAACCTTCTTGTGTAGATACTTGTCAAGATAGACAGGTGTCAATGTTTTATTGGTTCTGAAATCTAACACTACTATAAAAAATACATATAATGGTGGATGCATGTTCGTTGTTAGGTAGTGTATGATTGTATGTATGTTGGTTACCACAATAGGTGTACGGTCATGGTTATAAGTTAGATAGCATGCTACTTATAACTACGGGTTAAGGAAATAATTGTTGTGAAATAATTAATAGGTCCTGGGTTTGAATCCTAGCAACGCCATTCTTGGGTTCTATTATTCTGGATAGCGCTCTACTTATAACAACGGTCAAATTAAAAATTATTGTGATATTATTTGTTTTATATATATTTTTCTAGTTTACAGAATTCCCAAAATTTTAACCAGAATACCAAACCAGACCAGAAACAACAATACACCCATTTGTGAATTGAATTAGACTAAAAATTGTATTACATCAACGACACAATTCCATTTTGAACCAAAAATTGTAGATTACATCAAAACCAAAATGGCACAAAACAACCTACAATGTACACATCATTACATTAAATAATACTATCTTGTTGTCTTGGTGTCTTGACTTTAAACACTTATAATTTCAAATAATAATAGTTGTTAGAAAATAAAATCATTAGAAATTATAACATAAAATAAATTATGAATGAAGAATATAAAATACTTGTTAATTTTTGCACATGCCTTCTTGATGATCATTATGAATAGCGTGCACATCATCTCTATCAACTTCTTCATAAGAAGTAGGCACTTGTGTTGTGTAAGGAGTGGAAGGAATATCAAAATTTTCATCATCACTATGAGGAATGTGTTTTCCTTTGAGAATAATTGACCATCTTCTCGATGAATTCACATGGTATGTAACATAAAAAACTGTTTTTGTTTGAGTAGCCATGATGAATGGTTCGGTCTTATAAGTTTCCTTGCCAGGGTCAAACCGTGTGAATCTTAACTCATCAATTTGTAAACAATTGTTATTAAGAAACCACTTCCATTTAAATAAAGGCACTTCGAAAATAACATAATCAATCTCAAAAATCTCCTCAATGACACAATAGAGCGCAATGTTTGCCAAAATAGGATTCTTATCTTTCGAACTAGAGAAATACATGGATTTGGCCTCAACCATAACCCCAATATTTTTCATTGTACTACGATCATCTTTTGCTTTTGTATAAAAGGAATAATTAGAAATGTCGTATGTCGTTCAAGTTATCACAGTCAATTTTGGAATGTACGACAACCATTTAATTGTTTCAGATGCACGGTTATCATTAGAGATCCTATTATTAAACCAACTTATAAGTTTTTTGTTATGTTGTGTCAACAACCAACTTATAATTTTTTTGTTATGTTTTTAAGTTTCAAATACACTAAGATTATTCAACATATAGAAATGTACTTCACATACTACATCCTGATCCATTGACTTAACATTTAAACCTTAAGTACATCTACCTTCAAATTTGTCAACATGACGAGACTTTGGAATTCCAATAGATTTTGTTTTGTTTCTGACAAATAGTTTGAACAAAACTCAACAATTTCTTCTGTGATGTACTTTTCAAATATCGAAGCTTTCGGTCGGTGATAATTCTTCGTATATACTTTAAATATCTTCATGTATCGCTCTATAGGATACATCCACCTTAAATAAAATAGACCATAGAATTTGATTTCTCTGACTAGATGAACAAGTAAGTGAACCTTAATGTCAAAAATTAATGGAGGAAATTACATCTCCAATTGACACAATATTATTACAGCCTCATATTCTAATTCATATAATTTTTTAAAATCAAGAATTTTATTACATATAGCATTGAAGAATAAGCATAATCTGGTTATAGTTACTCTTACATTTTTTTAAGGATGCCATAGATAACCACTGGTAGAAGTTGTTACATCAACACATAGAAATCATAAAATTTTAAGCCAATTAACTTGATATCTTTCATTGATACAAGTTTATTGATATTTGAAGAGTAAACTTGGGGAACTCTTATACCATGCAAACACTCGCAAAAACTTTTCGTTTCCTTTTTAGATAGAGTGTGGCATGCCGGAGGCAAATAAGATCTTTTCCTCTATCTTCTAGATCCAACTGTTGTCATATACCCATCTCCATCATATCTAAACAGGAATTCTTATCTTTAGTCTTACCTGGATTGTTTAGAAGTGTTCCTATCAAACTATCACACACATTTTTCTCCATATATATCTCATCAAGACAATATCTTACATCGAAGCTAGACCAATATAAAAATCAAAGAACACATATCTCTTTTTCCAAATATTCATCTCAACTAGACGATATTTATTCTATCCAAAGATAATAATAAGGTGTTCTTTTCGTTGATAAATTTCATCTCTAGTTAAAGGTTTAGGAGCAGTTTTAAACTGTTGCTCCCCGTTAAAAGCTTTATGTAATCTACAATAAGGATGATTGGATTTTAAAAATTCCTGATGTCCAAGGAAAAGTTCTTTTTTTCAAACTCAAGCTGGTGAAAACAAGTATTAAATTCTCATATAGGACAAGCTTTATTTCCTTTGATATTGTATCCAGCTAAATTACCATATATAGGAAAGACGTTGATTATGCAAAATAATATTGCACGCATCTTAAACGTTTCACCACATCAACAACGTCAACACCTTTATCCCAAAAAAATTAAATCCTCAATTAATGGACTTAGAAAAACATCTATGTTGTTTCCAGGTTGTCTTGGTCTAGAAATAATCATACTTAACATGATATACCTGTGCTTCATGATCAACCAAAGAGATAGGTTGTAAATCAAGAGAAGATAATGCCACAAAGAATGGTTAGTACTCGGATTACCAAAGGGGTTCATTCCATCTATGGCAAGCCCAAGCCTAAAGTTTCTTAGCTCAATGCCAAAATCCAGAAATAATGAATCAATTTTCTTTCATTCCAAAGAATCAGCTACATGGTGAATGTTTCCAGCACACTTTCTTTCATATATATGAAATCTAACATTCTTTGCGTCATTCACATTAGGACGCTTCTTACTAACATTGTCATTGTCATCACCATTGTTTTTCTTCAACTTGTAGCGCTACTCACCACACTCTGGATATTGATTCAAATTTTCATACTATTTCCTGTATAATATGCAATCATTAGGGAATGCATGTATTTTGACATACTCCAAAGTCATTGGACACAATATCTTCTTGTCCTCATAATAACGATCCGAAAAATTGTTATCATATGGTAGCATCTGTTTCAACAAATCAAGCAATTATGTGACAATTTTATCCAACCACCCACCTTTTGCCTTCAGATTAAATAATTTTAACAACGCAGGTGATCGTGTAAAACTGGTTCACCCCTTATATAAATTTTCATCTTTGTCGTATATAAAGTATTATAAGCATAGACTTTCATATAAGACGATTCTCCAATATCATGAATCGTGTCTTCTAGTCGATCATCCATATCTTCATCATCTTCATCCATTGTGACGTTTCATTTTGGTTATTATCCACTTCTCCATGTCACATTCATGTTGTATAAGCCTATATTTAGAAAATGTCAAAACCACGGTAGAAATCCACTATAGCTCAAAAGCTACTCCTACCTGCTTCTTAGAATCACGATGAAATAGGCAAAAAAATGTGTGGCAACGATAGTTCAACGCGGAAACAAACACATACTAATTTTGACATATTTCATCACAACATAGGTGATGTAATATTTATTTCTTCAACCATTTTTTTATATTCCCGTAAACAACACAAGGACAATAAAAGATACCATTATTGTCGAGAATATTTTTTTTGATGTATTCAAGGAATTCAAGAACTCTTTTCTCATATATCATACTTAATCTATCATCTTTCATCCAACTACGATCCATGATAAATTCTGAAATTTATATCAAAAGACTAATGTGAATGGCACACTAATGCTACACAAAACAACATCCTAATATATATCCAACAGAAAAACCTAAAGCATATTCACAAAATCTGAATAAAACATGAATGTGGCGACATGAATAATACACATGACAATGTTAATGTCGAAAACATTTATTCATGAAATGCAATAAAAAGACAACATCATTTATGTGTTAAAAAATAAACCAGTAACCCTAGCGATGAACATATACATTTAGAAGCGTCAGTGAGAGAGCGGCAATCTACCGTAATTCGAAGAGGGTGACGATTTTATTTCCAGAAATGATATTCGTTTCTAAAAATGAATGAAGATGGTGAAGATTTCACTATCATTGTCGTCTCGTTTGCTAGAGCATCTGTGAATGTTATAAACGAAATAAAGTACCTATTATGTTTTAGTTTTGTGGGAAAGAATTTCACAACAGTTGCAAGCTTCAACCGTAATGAAATATGGAATATATAACCAAAGTTGAATGAAACAATTGTAGTTGTTATACTTCCAATTTTTAAATAAAAATAAATGTTAAGGGACACGCGCTTATTTTTATTGGAAAAATGAAAAATTAATGATGCTTAAATTCGATGTTTGTCACCCAAATTCTATGACCATGGTTGTATTTAGGAACCGTGACGAAACGTTTCTCAATAAAAAATATGCACAGAAAAAATAAAATATAACTACGGTGGATAAATGACTATGGTAATATAGTATCACCGAAGATATATTTTGTAGTAACGTAATTATTTTGCTTAAATCACTCACCTTGATTAGGTGTTTATTTAGAACTAAACTTAATATGTTCTCGAGTCCACATGAACCACTTTTTAAAGATGCATAATTCTTCGTTTTTTGTTGATCTAATGTTTTTGATCTGACGACCTATGAGGTTGTGATCGAATATAGCCTTGCTCTTAAAAGTCTCGTGAAGTCTAATTTTTAAGCAAATTGACTTCTTTTTTTATTGGTACACTGTTATACCGCATCAACATTGCATTTTAATCGATTCTGCAATGGAGAAAACCATTTGGCTTCGATATTGTTGTTGTCCATAACAGGTTGCTGTTGTTGAGCCGAAATCCAAACATTCAATCCCTGAGTTACCCGCATATCAATTTGTTCCACTTCTGTTTTCTCGCCATTCCAAACCATGCCATTACGAAACTTCCAAAGAGCATCCATCAGAATAGCAATTTTACCAACCGTGACCCAATCCTCGACACAACACGTATCGAAAATGACATCCTGAATGTTACTATATTTCTGCAGCCACGGTTCAATAACTGATAGCAGAGCAGTGATCCTCCAACTTTGTTTAGTCCTTGAGCAGTCAAACATTACATGCCATTCATCCTCAGTACAGTTATCGCACAATGGACAAAATAAAGTACAAGGAACACGATGATTTTGAAGATTTAATTCGTCGGTAAACATCCCTTGAAAATTCTCCAAAGGAGATGTTTATGTTAGAATCAAATGCTGGAAAACTTACTTAATTAAATAAGAAAAGGCCAATAAATAGGCTTACACAATATCACACGATCTCCCTAACTGCCCATTATATGTGGAGCGGTTTATTCCTTCCTAAAATTTAGGTACTGACTTTGACTAAAACAATAAAATAGCTAACAATAAGCTAACACATTCTAATGTGCTGCAATACTTAATTTAATTAAAATAAATATCAAAATATTAATCTTAACATCTCCTCCTAAACTGAATAGTCCAATTCAGTTTAACTTTGGTGTGTCACATACTCCTAGCTTCTTTCTAAGTCCCTGGAAGGTTCTTGTGTCGAGTGGCTTAGTAAATACATCTGCAACCTGCTGTTGCATGCTACAAAACTTTAACTGAACAGCTCCTTCATTCACCAGCTCACGTAGGAAGTGGAACCTTACATCGATGTGTTTGCTTTTGCCGTGCATCACCAGATTTTTTGATAGCTTGATTGTTGAGTTGTTATCATAGAAAATAACAGGGTTGTTGCTTCCTTCATAGCTGAAATTATGGCAGCAGATACTCAATGTCACAGTGAATGTTATGACAACGTATCTGACTTTCTATAAGACAGTAAATAAAAACAGTAAAGAACACAGTCAATTGTTTACCCAGTTCAGTGTGAAACAACACCTACTCTGGGGGCTACCAAGCCAGGGAGGAAATCCACTATAAGAGATATTAATTCAGGAATAAACCAACCAGTTTATCTCCTTCACTTAAGACCTACCCAATGCAACTTCAATCTAAGTTCAACTTAAACCTGAGTTCCTACTCACTCCCCCTCAATCACAGCAATGATACTTAAAACAATTGTCTAATGAATTAAAGAAGACACTCTTCAGAACATACACTTGATTATGCTTCACAACTTTTTAATCAAGTAACACAAACACTCGTGCTTCACGGCTTTGAGTGATACATAAACCTAACTTGACTTTCCTTCAAAGCTTTAGTCAAGAGACACAAAACACTCTTGCTTCAAAGCTTTGAGTGGTACAAAAACCCTTACAATCAAAACCTATTCCAAGTCACTTATCATAATGATACTTGCTTGGATTACAGCAGTTAAAACTATACAGCTCCTAATTGATCTTCAGTCAAAAAAGATACTTTCCAAACAGCAATCCTGTTGAATATATAGTAGTTGTTTCTCCAGTTAGGGTTTCCACAAAAAGCTAGGGTTAATTAGGTTTAACCTTAAGACTTGGTCACAAGACTTTATCAACCAGATTAGGGTTGAGCTAGGTTAACCTAAAGTCCACGTGAGATTCTGTTCTGGAAAGAATGAGTCATCTTCCTGAAAAATCTCAGAATTAACCAAACTGCATATCTGTTAGATCAGTACAGGATGTCTTAACATTTGTTATGACATCAGAATTCCTGTTTACTGATTTTGGTAGAAGGCAATAAATGTGATCTTTTGCAAAATACTCAGATACACACTCATACACAGTAGCTACTGTATGCCATACTTTTTCTGCATAAAGAACCTAATAATCCAGAATGTTATGACATCAGTCATGACATTTACACACCTGGTTTTACCAAAAATACATGTCAATAACTAAACACTTACAAACTCCCCCTTTGGTAGATTTTTGGCTAAAACCCCTAAGCAATCAGAGAATAGAGAGCAGCAGAATGAATATGACTGCAGAAAAAATATGAGGTCTACCAAGTAATTAACACAAAATATCTCCCCCTCTTTAGCCACAAATAGGCCAAAGATACATGTACTTAAATGTTATACAGTTATCCAAAATAGGTAATAAAAACAACAAATAAAATATGAAAACACTTGCATCAACAGCATCAGCATCAGGCTTGTCAATTCCACCAAACTTTAAGCACGGTCACCTTCAGAGGAGCTACTTTCTTCAGCATTGAGTTGATCTTCAGCAGCACCCTCTTCCCTTCTGTTTCCTTCAGTCTCCTCCTGTTCTAATCTGGCAATTAGGTTTTCTAGAGTCTTTTTCCTTGTCTCCAGCTCTTTGCAGGTCTCTTTCAATACAGCTATAACCTCAGATGTCTTGGACTGAGTTTTTACAGATGATGTCTCAGCTGATGTTATGACAATGTCAGGAACATAAGATCCCTGAAATAACTTGTAGTGTAACCCAAGAGCAGGAGCTCTTTTGCAAGCAGTATCTCTTTCCACCAGGATATCAGGGTACTGAGCAAGGATAATTCCACATAGGAGGGAGGGAAAGGCAATAGGGCCTTTAACAGCATAGCTACCAGCATGTTTTAAAGTTTGATCAAAAATGTATCTGCCATAGTCAAATTCAGTCTTGGTTTCAACAGCATAAATGAATCTCCCCAATCCTGTGGAGATGGTTGATTTATGGTTGGTAGGGACCCAGTTGGCTGCACCAATCTTGTGCAGGATGGAAAATTTCATGCTTAGTTTGCTGGCATTCAGCTTTCCTTTTAAGGGCCAGCACTTGACTTGTCTTGCTGTGATGGTTTGGCATACTTCATTGTCAGTGACTTCTAGTTCAGGGCACGCCTTATTTGATCTTCCAAGAAATTTGTTAATTTCGGATGGAGAGAAATTAACCCTTCTTCCTCTCACATAGACACATTCAAAGTCAGCTGACCTTCCATCAGCACATTCATCAGACAAATTCACTATGAATTCCTTGACCAGATTTTCATAGCATTTGGTAAATTTTACCACAGTATTCATTAGTCCAGCAGCTTTGATCAAGTTCATGATTTCCTTGCAATCCATGGCACCATTGTTTAGTTCTCTTTCCAAGGCTATTATCTTCAAGCAAACATACTTCCATCTGTTGGCATTTTCAGGGTGGTGAAATGAAATGTTGTCAGTGTGGACTTCAGGAACTCTAGCCATTTTGCTGGAAGGGAGTTTCCTTCTGAGAGGAATGTCTTCAGCATCAATTTCAAATTCTGATTCCTCATCAGAATCAGAAGGCTCAGGTTCTTTTCTCTTCTTTGTTATTGGTTGTCTTGCAGGCTTTGAGAGACTCCCAGTATGCACATGGGCTTTCACCTTCCCTTTGGACAGTCCAGTCTTCACAGTTTCTTCACCAGTCTTGCCTTCAGACCTGGTTTTCTTATCAGCGGGTTTCTCTTTGGTCAGACATTTTGCAGCATCCTGATTACCCTTTCTGTTCATCATTCTCCTAGCTATGCTAGGGTTGATATTTGCAATTAGGTCATTGTCTGAGTATTCCTCATCCACATCAATAACAGGTGGTTCAACATTCTTCTCTGAAGGGTTCTGAATATCATCAAGGTTTTCAGATGATTTCTGAATGTTGTCATTTGGTGTCTCAACATTCTCAGAGACATCTGAATTTGCTTCAACATTTGGGCTTGTTGATTCTTGATTTAATGGAATAGAGATCCCCGGTACAGATTGGTTCTCACTCAGTATTCTTGTAACAAGCCTAGCTATTGCTTGGTGTACATAAGCTGATCCTTCCCTATTTGGTACAGAAGATGAAGGTTTAGAGGGATTACCGGATGAAGTAGCTTGAGACCTTCCTGCATGCCTTGTTCTCAGCTTTTTGACCTTGGAGGGGTTAGTTGCCATTTCTCTAAGAGGAGTAATCTCCAGGACTTCAGAATCCATGCATGAGGTGATTGCCCGAGAATCTTGATCAGATGATGAAGATGAACCGGTCGTCTTGGATGAGGATGATGTTTGAGACATTTTGATTGACTTAGAAAACCAGTAGCAACTAGAGAGAAAACTTTGATTGAGAGAAAGGGATTTGTTGCAAAGTCGAGAGAGGAAGGAGGCAAATGAGTGTCTATTCAACTTCTTAATAATTTTGAAAGAATTGGGAAAACATATGATTAACCCACTCAAAATAGACTTAACAAAAATAACTCCTTAAACCCTTGTTTTAAGCAAAATTAATTGCTACAATTTCTCATGTTGGCAAATATCCAACTTGCCCCTCAAGTATTCAAATTGATTTTCATCAAGTGCCTTGGTATACATGTCAGCCAGTTGTAGCTCAGTGCCAACATGTTCCAGATTAATTGTTTTCTCCTCTACAATGTCTCTGATTAAGTGATGTCTAATGTCAATGTGCTTGGTCCTGCTATGCTGAATAGGGTTCTTGGAAAAGTTAATTGTATTCAGATTGTCACAGTACAATGTCATAACATCTTGTGTGACATTATACTCAGTAAGCATCTGTGTCATCCAGATAATTTGAGAACAGCTACTACCAGCTGCAATGTATTCAGCTTCAGCACAAAAATGAAAAGGAAGTCTTTTGGCATGTATCATAGCTCTGCCAGATTCCTGTATGGTCCTATTTTTCCTCTCTTCAACTCCATTTTGTTGAGAAGTTATAGGATAAGAGAATTCATGACTAATTCCTTCTGAGGGACAGAACTCATTAAGCTTACTGTTTTCAAATTCCTTGTCATTGTCACTTCTGATTCTGACAATACATCCTTCTTTTTCTCTTTGAATTCTTTTGCACAGTTCTTTAAACACTTTAAACACATCAGATTTTTCCCTAATGGAGTTAATCCAGGTGAATCTGGAAAAGTCATCCACCACCACATAGGCATATCTCTTTCCACCAAGACTTTCCACCTGCATTGGTCCCATATGAAGAAGTTCTAGAACCTTAGAGGTGATCAGATGTCTTGACTTTGGATGTGACATCCTAGTCTGCTTACCAACCTGACATTCACCACAAGCTCTCCCTTCATCAATTTGCAGTCTTGGAATCCCTCTGACTGCCTCCATGGAGATAATCCTTTTCATTCCTCTTAGATGAAGATGTCCAAGTTTTTGGTGCCACAGTTTCACCTCTTTTTCTTCTTTGGCAATAGAACACACAGTGGAGTAATTAGTGTTCTCAGGCTCCCACAAGTAACAGTTGTCTTTAGATCTGACTCCTTTCATTACAACTTCTTGTTTTTCATTAATTACAAGACAT